AGGTAATCCATGGAATTCCTAAGTCTCTCCAGCTGTTCTTCTAATGCACTCTGTCTGAGAAAGTGTTATTCACAATATGTACAGATATATAATCTCATTACTGTAATCTCCTATTTAACAGTCATCTGTTATCTCATAAGTAAATAGCATGCCAAATCAAACCACGTTCCAAAGGATGTGGTGAGTTATAGCAAGTCGTGCTGGATAGCATGCTGAACAACCAGCATAACATAAGGAACACATCATCTGATAATCAAGGAAAGAGAATATTAGGGTTTTTGAAATCTTACAACGTATTTAGAGGTGGAAGCATCATTGAAACTCCACGCCTCCTCAGGGTCACCCAAAAGGCATGCACATTTCTCATCCCAACTTGTATCTTCAAATTCCTTCACAGAAGGTTGTCTGATCTGAAAGAACTTATTAATTACCTGAAATTCATAAAAACATACAAAGAGAGAACCAAAAGTTTAGTCATGTATTTAAGATCCATTAAATGCCAAAACAAATATGTTACTATAAATTGCATATTGAAGAACTTGATAGGGATATATGCAAGATAACTATTTTTCATGTATTAGTTTTGTATCCTAAGAAACCATTGGATAAGCTTTGTACAGACTAACAAAGGAAATAAAAATGAAAGATAGAGTTACAGAGGAGGGAGAGCGAGAACACTACTTTCTTGAAGTTTTCATTTTGCTTCATATGCACTGCTTGATCAATTTGTAGAGCATCATTAAACTCCTTTAGTTTAAGGCAATCTGCGGTGAGCTCCTCTACCCTGTGTTAAAGATAGGTTGCAAGTAAAACAAAAATTGTTTTTCCACGTAAACATATCCTCCATGTCATAGAAAACAAGATCATAGAGAACAGAGGTATAGGTAATCATAAAATAGGCACATAAGTTTTAATCTTTCAATCTTGCTTAGTAAATTACCTTACAGAAAACAAGGCCTTCCATATAAAGAGAACAGACATACTAGCAACTTGCAAGAACAGTTTCAACTGAAATAAATGTAGACTATATGGAAATGCAACATCCCAAATTTGCCATGTAAGATGAATAAATCATTTAAAATGGAAAACCATAGGTGAGGAAAAGTAAAACATGTCTCTTATGATAACCATAGTTGTTATAATTCTTGGGTGGATCTCAATATGTTACACCAAACATAATCAAGCAACAAGTGCATAATGCATCATCATCGTCTATTTACATAAAATAAAAGCAGGATCTTTTCTCAGACCTCCTAAGTCACCTATCTTTATTAATATGTAAGCGCTAAAATGACACAAAGATTGAGATACCTCTGGTGGAAGCCATGTATTTGTTGGAACATTGTCTCCTCATTTTCTTTGGCCTTTTCAGCCTGTTAATATAAAGGAATTTTGAAATTATCAACCACAAAAAACTACAAAGTACTGAAAACGATATTCTTTAAGGAAAACAGACAATATTGTAACCTCAATTATTGCTTGATCCCTTTCAGCGAAAGCAGTAGCCATACAACCTTGGAAAAATTTTACCTGCTTCTCAGCTTCCATGTTCTGGACATTAAATTTGAAGTCATTAGTAACAGTATTCCTCGAGGACAACTCAGTCGAAGTACAAACCAAAAAAATCCACCTCACAAGTCACATCAGTCAAAACATGTTAACTCTTTCAATAAACTATAGCATGATCACAACAAACTATAGCTTGCCGTCATGTTCTCACCATAATCCCTTATAAGACTTTCAACCAAGTGTAAAAAAAATTCAGACAAATAAATGTAATCAGTTTGTAATTTTGCATCCAGCAACTCTCCACAAGTTGCTAAAGCTGGACAGCAATTCCTCTAATGCAATCTCAGTGCTAGAGTGTAAAACAAAATGAAGAGCAACGGGTGAGGAGAAAGAGAGAGACCTTTGAAACCTCAGCGCTGTGCAGATCAGCAAGTTGACCCTGAATATAGTAAAGTAAATACGTAAACAAAATACAATGAATTTTACGCCACAAAGTCAAAATATTCGATAACTCACTTTAATTCTGTATGCCTCAGAAAGCTCCTCTTCCAGATTTAGATTGTCTCTTGAGCAAGCCGCCAACTTCTTTTTCAAACTCTCAATCTCCTGCTCCAATCCAGCTGTCCTAATTGGGCACAGAGTTGAATATAATAGATTGTATGTGATTGCCTAAAGAATAGGAAAATAAACAGATACCTTTGAAAATGCAATCGGGTAGCTACAGCAAGATATCCAGGCCCAGCTTGCTGCATGCATAACTGTTCGATATCCTTGTGTAATTCATCACGCTCTACAAAATTATATACTTTGTAAGTTCAATGACTATAATAAATGACTTCAACGCCAGATAAAATTTTACAGGATACAACAGTTTAATCAAATCAACATCAGTCTAGCGTTCTTACTAATCCTAAAACGACCCTTGTAAGAGAGTTAAAGTAACATGTACAAGTAAAAATGCACATACCCCTTTCCAGTTGTTCTATGCGAGCCAACAATGATTCGTCATCTGAATTCTCTGCCATTCTGGGGGAAAAACCATTAAATCAACAAAATTGAAAGCTCAATTACTGTCGAAGCCAGACCTCGAAGTTCATACCGTCGAATAAAGCGCAAAAGATTCACAGAGATAATAAGACAAATTCGAAGCACTAAGATTGCAGTTGAAAAGCTAACCCCACTAAGCCTTTTATACTCAAATGAAGAACTAATGAGTCTGTACAATGCTTCCTATTGCGTGTCGTTTAAGTCGAAAAGTGAATGAACAAAAACAGCAAAATTTTACCACGCAATCATATGAGGGTGACGGATCCTATACTAAAAAAAAGCACCAAAGAAAGAGTTCTATTTGTTAAAAATTCTGCAAATTACTGCATAAGAGGGGTAAAAAGAGGCCCAAAAACCAGGTGTGAGTGTCAATACATGAATTGGGTTAATTTCCTCCGAAAACAGAAATCTAATGAAGAAGCACAATCCTTGTACTCCCAATCCCAAAAAACAAAACCAACCTTATTGTACAAAATCAATACCAAATAGTAACAAAATAATATATACAAGAATAATAATAAAACTAAAAGGTATGAATGATGAGAGCATGGAGATCACCTGGAATTGAAAAAGCGAGAAAATTTTTGAAACGAAGGGTCTTCCAATCGCCGATAAAGCTCCGCGAATTCGACTGGTTTCTGAAATTCTACCAACTTCGGTGAAAGGTTTTCGTAACTAATGGGAAAAGGAAGGCGATACCAAAAGGATTAGTAACTAAACCGTTTAAAATAATCTTATTCTATTTTATTTTATTTACAAACTTGTTTACTGGAAACTCAAGAAAAGAGCAATGATGCGACTCTTTTCTGTTTCCACAGTAAACTTTTTCTTCTTTTCTTTGGGTAAAAACTGAAAGGAAGAAAATTTATACAATATTTTGTAACATGTAAGAGTGGTATGGTTTAAAGAACTTGCAAAATCTTTAAAATTTTAAATGTATTTTCTTTTCCTGTTTCCTAAAAAACGATTGCAAACCAAATGCAGGGAATTTTTAGTTTATTTTTAGTTCATTTAACAATAATAAAGATTCATATTTCAATGTATATTAAAGATTCTTTAAATTATTCATATTTAATAATATTTTCAACCACTAATTAAAATGCATAAAAGATTATTTATTTTTTAGTTGCATGACTTATTTAATAAGTTTTGTGCACGTAGTTTTATAGTTTACGATAAATTTCAACCAATAGTAAAAGATTGTATATTAATTTTGTGTTTTAATTGTGTATTGTTAACATTTTTCTTAAATGAACTATTAATCAATTAATATATAATCAAATTAAATAGTACTTGTAGTTAACAAAAAGTCGCATAAGAAAGAAGTATCAGTATCGATTGCTATACTAATTAGTCAGTGAACGCATGTTTTACTATAGGATTAACAGAGTGTTATTGAGGCAAAAATTCAGTCTTATTTATGTAAAACTTATAAAAATACTCATCTTAATAAATAATAATAATTTTTACGTTATTAATGAACTTATATAAAAAAATTATAAGTTAAACAAGAAATTGTGTCAGAGGGTAACTATGTGATGACAGTAAAAACATTAAATTAAATATTTTCTCATATTAAAAACATTATAAGAGTTAATTTTATTTTAATTCTATAAAACTAACTTTAAAAAAATCACCATCATTACTTATACATTGTTTAGTCTTAATTATGATAAATATGATATCTCTAAACAATATTGATGCAAAATTATGAACATTTAGTATTTATACACCTATAAAAATTAGTATACTCAGTGAACTTTGTTTACCATAGTGTGGTTTTGTCATTTATTATTTTCATTTAAAATATTTCAATTGCTAAATAATGTATTTATTGAGTGTCTTTCAAGAATTTAATACCCAAATAAAGAAAACTTAATTTTCTTCGATTGGTTTTGAAGTTCTCTATTGTATTTTTGTTTCATGTTTATTCAACAATAAATGCATATTAATCATTTATATGTAAATTAGTAAAAATAATAATAAGGATACACTTGTAAAAGATTAAAATTTAGTAACAAATAAGAAAATCTAATAAATGTCAGAATAAAAATATACATTCATTCACACATCTCTATGCCTTTATTCATTAACTGCACTTCGACTCTTTGACAAACCCAATACAATCTCACTCTAACCATTTCATAAAGTAGTGGAAGAACCTATTAGTAGTTGGGAATAAACTTATTGCCAATTTAGAGTGTAAGCCTTTTGAACTTGAATAAAATCCAAGACAACAATTCATGATTAATGTATCTTGGAAAATAAAATTTATTGAAAACATAAATACTGAATATAAATCAGAAAAACAAGTCTTGTTGTATTTGCAACAGCATAAAGAATCATACAATTTTACTTTTGACATGACTCGAGACAATATAATTGAAGTCATTTTAGAGCATTCGTTTTTCAATCTCTCGTTATGGTTTAATGGTTTGGGGAGAAGGAGCATCAATGTGTAACTTTTTTAGCAATAAAAAGCAGGTGAATGAAGCAGTTTGAGGTTTGGAAACAAGTAGCAGTTCATATTATTTAACAAGAATAATAAAAAAATCAACAAGGGATAAGGTAAAGCAAAGAAAAGAGAGAAAAAAGAGACACAGATTTGATCGAGTTCAATGCTGAAACACACTTCATCGAGTTTCCAGTTTGTGCAAAGCAAATGTCATCTCAGAAGCACGCATCCAATAGGCAACAGCAGCAGAGAGCAGCCAAACTGTACAATTCACAGATTCCAAAAAATCAATATCAGAACAATGCAGTGCCATGGCATGCATCTATTTCTCACTCATAAATATGAAAAAAAAAAAAAACAAGAGCAATAAAACATGTAAAATTCAAATCCCATGATTCAAAATTTGTTATGCCAATGTGACATCATCTTTGCAAAAACATAGTATTTTATTCAAACAGTGGGTCTACGCAAAAAAACAAACCCAGATTCGGAGTCTCCAAGAAAAGAATGTAAAGAAGCAGTTACGAATAGAGCGCACAATAGCTAATTGTGTCTAACGTTACGCCGACAACTGTCACCGAGTCAACTCGGAAAGAGCCGGATCGGATCTGACTCAGCGATCGAAATTAGAGAGAGACAGACAGACAGACAGAAAGACAGAGAGAAAGACGCACCAGCCTTCCAAGCAACCAGAGTTCTGTGAATTTTGTTGCTGCGGGGGCGGAGGCGGAGCGTATTGAGGAGCGTAGGGCGGCGGAGGATAGCCCTGGGCGGGGTAGGGCGGAGGATAGCCTTGCTGTGGGGGATATCCGGGAGGCGGGTATCCGGGCGGCGGGTATCCGGGAGGCGGGTATCCGGGCGGTGGATATCCTTCCTTTCCTTGTCCCTCCGGCGGATAACCTGAGAAAGAAAAGAATGAGAATGTGAATTAGAAAGAGGGAATGAATATAGAAGGAAGGAATCGGAACGGAGGAGGAACCTTGCGGTGGTGGAACTCCGACGGGTGATTGCTGATGCGGATTATAATAACTCATTGGGTTGTGGTGTGATCGAAGATGGGAATGTGATGATTGGATGAACAAAATGAATGAATGAATGAATGAATCAGAGAACAAGAATTTGGGTATATCTCCACACACCCAATAAATTTATTTTTATTTTCTCACTTTATATTTTACACTCTGTCGAACACCTCAACACAGCAAATCACTGTCTGTTTTTTTCCATATGATAAAAATTATGTATAAAATTAAATTTTTATCATAATTATACATATTTGATATTATGATAAAAGAAATATAAACTTTGGAGTTTATAAGCCGAACAATCTAATTTAAACAAAAACTTTGAAGTATCACGATACATGTAAATTCATGAAATTATTTAACCAATTCACACATATAACCATTACCATACGTAACGGATACAAGATCTAGCAATTTATTAATAAGCCTAGCAGTGTAACTTTTCATAAACTTATACTTCAATTCCCAATACAACACACTCTTAAAGATAGGTCAAAAAGATATAAAGAAAAAATTTATTGAGAAATAAATAATACTTCTATCTAAACTCTATATAATTAAAACCTATTTACAGTTTAACATTTTTATTAAAAAAATATGCAAATATCATTTTATTAAATCTTCTATAATCTAATAAATACCCATGTCTTAGATGTTCACAATAGTTATTAAATTTTATAATACTTGAATCAAAACTCAATCCAATCGTAATTTGTAATTAATCTATACTTATATATAAATGAGTTCCCTCTATGTCTTTTTTTTTTCATTTTTACCCTCCAAGTTACTGTTTTATTTTAATTTAACTGTTTTTTTAAATTTAATTAATTATTTTTTTAAATTAACTACTTTATAAATTAAATAAATAAAAATCATTTACAAAAAAAAATAAAACTTTTATAATTAAATTGTAAGAATTGTTTATATTTATTTTTATAATCACAATTTCATTATTTTTTGTTATTAAAAAAATGAACATAAATAACGCATGTGTTTTCAGTAATTGAGAACAAATCGAATGTACATTGCATTATCCTTAAACTGGTTTAAAAGTTGTGGTTGCAAAATACATGAAATTAACTCTGCTATATTCATACTTAGTTGGAGAAGTGCAATGTAAAGACTATACCTCACTGTTGATGGAAAGAAGAGGAAACAGAACTAACAAACCCAAACACAATCAAGCAAGGCAATTTTTTTTTTTTGCATAATTCTCCATCTTTGGGCTGGGTCAATATAGGAATGGGCTTAATGGCCCATACGAGATCACAGATTAGTCCATAGAAAAAAGATAAATAAAAAAGAAAGAAAGAAGAGAAGCTAATCACGAGTGTAGTTTGAACAGTAGATAAACTTTAACCAGATGCTTCTTCACATTAATGAAACCCTAATGGAATTTAGTTACCCAAAAAAGTCATTTAAAAATGTACTTTTAATTTGGAACGACGTGTGATAAATTTGTTTTTTTTTAATGATAATCATTTTAAAGTAATACAAAATAAATTTATAAATTTTTACAAGACTTAACTTGTTATGAATCATAATAATAACTCTTTTGGTTGATAGCTAAAAGTTTCGCAATCATGGTAGTGGTATTCAAGTAGTGTAATCTTATTAAGAACATGATTTTGTTATTTAAAAGAAAAAGGCAAAAATGAAATATTCGTAATAGAGTTTATTTATTATTAACCCAATTAGCCAACCAAAATATTCTCTCACGAGCAGGTTAAGACGGTTGGAGTTCGTAAAATATATATTTTTTTATGTTTTTCTGATAAAATGAAATAAATATAATATTTTTTATTTGAATTTTTAAAGAAGTGTGGTGACTTTAAAAAGAATTATAGATATTAAAATTGAAAAGAAAAGCATGGAAGAGGGATTTAGATAAAAGTGCGTGTGCACGTGGAGACATGTGTTAGAATATGTGGAAGCCCGCATATGAATATTATGCACACGTGCCCACATGGTTGAGTGAATCCCAGTAGAGTAAATTCTTGAAAAGAAGAGAAGGATGGTGAATGTGATTGCATGTGGATTCATAAAATCCCAGTCAACTGCACTGTGCCCCAGAAATTTTACAGTGTCCATTGTCTTAGTTCTGCAAAACCCATTTATTTTTCTCTCTTTGCATGATGCACAGTGAAAGAATCTCTTCAAGAAGATAAAAAAAAGAGTATTTTTTTCTTGTTTGAGAATGAGACTGACATGAAAAAACAACCCGCACATTTTGCTCTGCAGAAATCTAAGCAAATGACAGTACAAACTATAAAAGAGGGTGATGTTTCCGTTGAGTGATTCTTTAGTCGCACACATGATGGGCACAGAAAAGGAAAAAAGGGGCACGAGGATCATAAATAATGTGTGCTGTTTATGCTCAGAACAGCGTTATTTCCTTTCCACATTTGAACACTAAATCACACTTACGGGGCACTAAATCAAACTCATTTTTAAGGCTGGACCACCTCTGCTACAAGTAATGGTAATTTTGTTCTCGAATGCAAAACAGCATCAGCCTTTAGTAACATGTGTGTTGTAGTGGTAATCTTCTCCCGAAATGGAACAATGATGCGTGTAGAGAGAGAGAAAAGAGGGATAGGTGTCCATACAGTGTGGAAGGGGAAATGGACGTGTACCTGGTTTTGTTAAGAGGGTACACAGTGCATCGCTGTCTAGCATGTGAAGGTTGTGGTTCATCTCTTTCCCTCTCTCTTTACATGCATCCCTCTATATCCTACCCAACTGGCACTTAGCACATATGGGTGGAGAGTCAGGACAAAACTAGTCTAGGATTTGAGTCCGATTCTCTTGGTTTTCTCCAACACTTTATCCAACTTGTTGCTGACCCCAAACCAAAACTATACAGCCACGTTGCCACGCAGTTAATAATAGGCCACACCATGTATTGCCATGTTTCATCAAACTCTTTTTTTTATCCTTTTTACCACTCTTCTCTTCATCATAAATTGGAGGGTAAGTGAATAACCAACCTACCCCTTTTAGATTTCATTCCTTTGGGAGCAGCCAAGGAAAGGAAGATGAATGCATTGGCATCATCACAATGCAGCAGCGGGTGTGAGTCTGGTTGGACTCTATACCTGGAGCAATCTCTCCAGCTGAATCACAATGCCTTTTCACATGCAAGTTCCCAGTTTGATGGTGAAGATAACGACGAATACAAAGACAAGAAAGCTAAAAAGGAGGAGGCTGAGGAAGAGGACCTGTCCATGGTCTCTGATGCTTCTTCTGGGCCTCCACACTTGCCAGATGCACAAGATAATGGCAGCTTTTACTCTGCATCTAAGGCAGCAAAACTTGGCAAGAGAAGTAAGAAGAGGCAGAAGGTTAAGGAATACCAACACCTTCCTTCTTTTCTTGATGACACTGCTAGCTCTTCTGTCTTTGATTTCTCCATGGTGAGTTTGATCTTGCTTGCAGCCAGTTGCATTGCCCTATGACCCTGCCTCGTTTTTCTAGTACTAAAAATAATCATGGGTTGTAGTTGTAGTTGTAGTTGTATGCTGTATAGATGATACTTTCTTGGCTCTTGATAATTTTTCAGAACAATGTCACAGTGACCAACCAACAAACTTCCACAGAGAGCTTGCTAGATTACTCACAAGGTTTCTCTGCTACTTATTATGAGGTACTTCACTGGCTCCATTCATTCTTTCAAGGTTACATTTTATTCCAACTCCTCACAAAAATATTCGTGTTCTTATAGGAGAGATCCTCGTTGCAAGACCAGTTCGGCTTTTTAGAACCATCCCTGTCAGAAAATGGAGTTGAAAACAACAAGCAAATGCTTCTTCTTTACACTGGCCAATCTTCATGACTGTATCCCCCAGAAGTATTTTAATTTATCATGTGACCGCTCCATTGCATTCTGTTCTTGACAAATATGGTACGGAAGGAAAGAGATGGGGATGATATAAAGATCAGTTCTGTTTCTACTAATAGTTATCTCTGCAATTCAACTTAGTGCGGCGGAAGATACAGAAGATCCATGAAGGGCACAGAATCAATAATGATGTAGAAGGAAGCTGACATCAAAAGGGATTCTGTTCCTTTGTTTTCTTTTATCGTATATTTTAACTGTCAATGCAGTGATAAACAACCTGAAAGGAAAATTTGGAAATGAACCTTTCTTTTCCTTTTTCTTTGATAGATAAGTTAGGCAGATTCTGTGTAATGAAAGCATGCTCAATTTTTGTTTTTGACGAAGTCCCATGCTCAATTTATATAAGCAAAGCACCACTAGCAACTTTTGCCAAAAAAATATTTAATTTTTCAACAGCATATTGTCCAAAAACAAAATGACCAAACTTTTGTTTTTGTCGTCCGGGTATAACATACCAACGCGAACAACTTTTTCACACCAAGGACTATAGTTGCAGATCCCTGGTAATGTTTAAGTGGAGTGGAACTTGTGTCCATGTTCAAAATTCAGGGGGGCAGAGTTACCTGCTAACAGTGCTTTGGAAATACAAAATTTCTTTAACAGATAAGTGCAATGAAATCTCGGGTTTGACAACGTGGTCCTCAATCTTTGTGTGTAGTTTACATCTCAGTTAAGTGAGCCCAAAGTGATACTGCTGGAGATGACTGATACTCTCTAATCTCAGAAAAATTTGCAATAAGAACTTGATGTCACGAATGGAATTAAATGTGGATTTCGCAGACCCATTGCACAGTTTCTTCAGCTGTTTTGATTATAAAATCCATTTTGTTAGTGAAGGGAGACAAAATGTAGTGCTGTCCACTAAATCTCTTAAAACGGCAAACTTTGATGAATGCCGTGTGATCCTAATTGATTAGGTAGGATGTCTCCAATTTTCGTTTGGATCTTTACATTATGTCTGTGAATATAAGTTGAGAGGAAAAGGGTTTAATCATTAAGAAGGACAAGGCCTTGTTCATAGGGCTGTATTTATTCTGGAAGTTGTAGTGTTTTCCTGTGGCCTGAAAATGAAGGGAAAATGCTTGATCTGTTTGCAAAAGGATAAAAGATGATAAAGGTGTGAGTTATGAGGTATGGGTAATGAGGAGAGTGTAGAGAGATGAGGGGAAAATGGTGATGTTTATGTTGGAATATTTCATATGCAAGCACAGGAGATCCTGCCTGAGATCTTCCTGACCCAGAGGAACATGCCCCATTTGGTTTAGTATGTCAACTTTATCTCGTTTGGAAGGATCCCCGATTTTAAAATATCATATATCATGTTTTTATATGTACCTTTGCTCCCTTCAACTCTGTCTGCTTGGAAGCTGTCATAGGACTTGATGTCATGCACAATTATGTGTCCCTTCAAACTTTTTTTTATACCTTTACTTATTCCCAGTCATGTGATTAAAAAAATCTAAGGAGGGTGAGAATTTGGGATGTCAGGAATAAACAATTGGGTAAAAATAAAAGAGGAAGCTAAGCTAAAGACAAAGAAAAACTCATAAAGACAGAGAAATGTAATTTAAAGGTGAAGATAGTCACTGCGTAGCTGCATTCCATGAAATTGGATAAGAGTCCAAAAGAGTATGGGAAAAAATTTTCTGCCTTTCCAACCACCGCCAAACCATACACAGAGGAGAAGAGATATAGAGATAGGAGGGGCTTTATAGCTTTCAAACACGTGGTTCATGCTTCATCTTCTATTTCCCTCTCCATTTCCAATCTATTTTGGCTGTTCCCATTTCTCAGGACAACGCTCTGCATGACAAATGCTGAATAACAGTGAGTGAGTGAGTGAGTGAGTGGGTCAAGTGGTAAAAGCCAAAATCTACAAAATCATGGCTAATAGTCTTATTATGTTGTTACTGTTCAACATTGGACTTCACATCACGATGCAGCAATGTAACCCTCTCGGTGATCTTGTATTGGTTTACTTCATCAAATCAGAGTTCGAATGTTATTTATGTATGTATGCAGATAGAAGAAGCAATCTCCGTGTGGACTCTGGATAAAAGAAATTCAACTCTCGAAGCACATTTCCTCCAATGTGCGAACGATGCAAATCAAAAGTGACTGTATTCGGGTGGAGTTGCAAGTCACGTAATGCCAATCACAACAAGGCACGAAGAAAATCTGGTGTATAAAGCAGTGACCAAAGAGGCAAAGACAAAACTTAGGTGGTGTTACCACATGTGCAGACGTTGATTATGAACTGTGAAAAACATCACTAGCTACTGTCACGAAACAGTACCTAGGTCATGTTTGGGAAGTAAGTATTGTGGAACATTGTCAAGCTGACTTAGGCCCACTTAGGAAAATAAAACAAACAAGTTGATCTAATATTACCTCACCAAGCTCAATTATCCATTTTCTAGTTCAGTGTGCCTTATGGCTTCAAAACCTTCCAAAGCTCATGGAGACACACTGCACTGGATCATCATATCGCTATAATTACTTCACTGTTCGCCTGCTGCTACAAACAAAACCATAATTTCACTTCAATTCATTCACGTCAATACAGGTAAGACAAAACTTATGATAAATGCTGCTTCTACTATCGTAACTTTTAAACACTTATATTTTATTTTAACAAGTTATAAGAAAAAATTGGACATCAGAAACCTGTTCGATACTGTAAGAGAAAAAAATGAAACGTGAAGTACCAAAAACTGGTAACTTTTTGTCATTCTTCTGTTCATTTTTATCACATTTATTAGTTTCTCCCTTCCGTTTTTTTTTCTTTTCATCTCTGTTTTTCAACCATACACCTAAAAAAATGGAGAATATACAATCTTTTTCTGACACCAGAAAAATTACGGTCGCGTTTAACCTAGAAGTAATGTTTTGCGGCACGGCCAAACTTTGCAGTTTTCCAGTTGACGAGTGATTTGAAGATGGAAGCTGCCAGAACATTTCTTGCTCCTTGAATTAGTCGTACATCTTAATCCAATTTAATGAATTTGCTGTATCTAATTGTTAGTGTGACAGGTTGCAGGAGAAAGCAAATCACAAAGAAAGGCCAGCTAGTTGAACTTGCACGTCTGACCCCAAGGTATCATTGAAAGAGAAATGTTGTTTTCACGAATAGAAAACATAAAAATGATTAGGGCCATATATTAAAATGGAAGAGAAATAATGTAAAATATAATAAATGTAAGAAAAAGAATCTGGATACTTCGGAAATTTTGGTGCTAATAGCAAAACTAATACTGTAAAGACAACAGGTGTACGTAAAGCTACCAACGGAATCATGTACAAGACGAGTACACCGTTGAAGCTGAAGTATCATACGAATACAAGAAGCAGCCAGAAGATACTGCAATGGTCTGCTATTATAATTTATAGCATATGAATGATGAGTGATTTTCAAATTACATTACATTTCTTTATGAAACGCTATTAGATGCCTAGTTAATTACTCCAGCAAGCGTTTCTGCTTACACCAGGCAATGGCAACTACATACAAGAATATGGTCCCTGCAGTGCTACCACCAACAGTCCAGAGGAACTCTGTCATCCCAGCTTTATCTGGATCAAATAGCTCAATGTGAATATTCATGCCAAAAACTCCGGCCACAACAACAAAGGCACTCACTACCAGAGTTGCTGTGGTCAACATGACTCCCATTTGGAGGAGATGGTTCTGTTTGTCATCCAGCATGATGTTGATGTAATCCTCCGTGTCATCAACATATTCCCTCAGCTTCATCAGGACAATGAACAAATATGAAAGAGTCAGTAACAGAGGAATCAATTTTCACTTCATTTTTCAGGTAACTGGTAAACTATAATATCATGTGAAATTGTTATAAAAGATAAAACCATATTGGATCAGAAATGTTCAAAGATCATAACCTAAACCCTAAAGTTGCCAACTACGTGATTTGACAAACTCCCATACATATAATTCATCCGTCTTAGAAACCATATTGACCAAATCCCCAACATTTAAAAAAATAGGAGAGTTTGCTACAATGGTTTGAAATAACATGCATCTTTGATCACGTATGCAACAGCATTTTATACCCTACAAGATAAGGGGCCCATCAAGGTGATTGCCGAAAGCTGAAACTTGTCAAATACAGCCTTCAAAGACTAGTTTGTCAGTCAAATTGGTCCCTAACTCCCTATGTAAACTTTAGTTCGAAATGTGTTTGTTGCCAGTTTCGAGCGTCACCACCACTGATGGCTATCAGGGGAGCAGTGTATTGAGGAGTTTGTCCATTGGTGCTTTGGTAGCAAATGCCAATTGGCATTCATAACTTCCCCCCCACCCCCTTTTTTTTTCTGTTTTGGGAGTGATAGCAGAGAGGCATGGCAGTTAATGGGTTTAGTTTGCCTGCAAAAAAGGGCTATTGTGACTGGTTTTTGGGGAGGTTTGACAAGGTTCCAGGCACAATAGTGTCTGTTTTGGATCTAATGGTTTGATTTAACAGTAAGTTGAAGTTACTTATATAAAGCACATGGATAGGGAGGTCAAAGGTTGAGAGTTTCTCAATAGGTTGTTAGTGTGATGAGTTTCCTGTGTGTTTGATTTTTGCTAAGTTTACTTCTGGATCCTTATTTTAGTGCGTGATGTTAGAAGCTATTACAAATAGTACGTTTCAGGTTGTTTGATGTCATTGATGGCTAAGGGGGTAAGAAAGTCGGTCGTTAAAAGATGCAAATCTGTTACCTGTTCCACAACTAACAAAAGTTCCCTTCTCCCTTCACTAATAGGGCCAAGCTTCAAATCAACCAACCTTTTATCTCAACCATTGTGTCTTTCCTCTCTGTTCTGGTTTCATTTTAGTCTCTAGTCCGTATTAGGGTTTACTAATTTGACATGCACAAAAAAAGTTGTCATGAAAGACCCGACCATGACAATTAACATGTATGTGAGATTTCTGTAATTGTCAACTCAAGCCTCTCAACTGATCCATGTACTAAACTTTCCACTATGAATTTAACATTTTTCATCTTTTGGGGAGACCAACTTAACCGACTTCCCGTTCTGGCAAGGCAAACATGATGAATGGCACTCCATTACATGTTTACCTACGAAACAAAGTTAGACGAACTCCTGCCAATCCATGGCCTCAAATACAAACAAGAAAATAAAAAGCTACTCATTTCATGGCTTCTCCTCCAACATTATATACAGAACCTCTTCCAGCATCCTTCAAATAAGGTTTCACTAGGCTACTTAATCAGAAAGAACACTGTTTTCTTTTGTGAAACAGTAACTGGTGCATTTGTGGTAGAACTCGTTGGTATTTGCAGCACTTAGAGGGGAAGGAAAAGTTATAAAACATGGGCGATAAACCGATAGAGCGGAAGGAATATGAGGTGAACGGGCGCGCATACCGTTGAGAGCTTGTTCAGGGTGCCATCGATCTGCACAAAGTAAGCCTCCAAAAGCATTTCAAGCTCCTCGACATCAAGCTGCTTGGTGACGGCACTGTAAGTGCTACCACGGGTTCCATGGCTGTCCCTACCAAGAACATTGTAGGCATTGTGTTGATCCTCAAAGCCCACAGGGGGTTCTCCAGCCTCAAAGGATATTTCTGTAGTGGTCCTAAAAATGGGTAGAAAATTTACATTCAGAGGGATGAAAGAGAGTTAAAAAGAGGTAAAAGAAAAAAAAAAGGTGGATGCCTGTCATCTATATCCTGCTCGTCGTGGTCATTTATGGAGGATGCGGAAGAGCTCTCTTCCATCTGCTGTTCGGCTAACTTATCCGTCAGATACATCTCAGCCATATCATCGTCGTCGTCCAGCAAGTGCTCCAATTCATCCCTCACCTGAACAAATGATCAAACAATGAAATAATCAAACCCCCGGAAGCCCATGCCATGCATCAATCACACCCACCAACCTTCTGAACACGGCCAGTGATGGCGACCAATCGTTTCTTAATTTGACGAACGCGTTCCAAATTGAGAGTACTGATCTTGGATGTGAGCTTGTTCAAGGCGGGATGAGCCTCCTGCTCCAACGTCTTTGCCTGTGAGTCATCAGAGAGAGATTTAGGGTTAAGACAGAGGGAAATTGTCGGCAAGAAATGAAAAGAAGAGAAGAGGGAAGCACGGACCTCGTTCTCCAATACGCTACAGGCGGCTTCAAGGCAGGCCTCCAGGGCCACGAATTCGAAAGGGAGAATCTTGATGGCATCGGGGTCGTGGTCGTGGTCGGGGTCGGAGTCGGTGTGGTGGTCGTGATGTTTGGAAGAGAAGGCCTGGTGGTGGCGGAGGATCCTGGCCTGGAGCTCTTGGACGAAGGGGTTGACGGAGGGGTCACGTGAGTTGAGGAGGAGGACCTCGTGGGCGGTGATGATGGCCTTGATGTGCTCCAAGTTGATGACGATGGCCCTCTCACGGCCAAGAAGGGTGGAAGGGTAGGAGAGGAGAGGGTCCAATATGCGGAGGTCACGGGCGGGGAGGCCGGTGCGCCTCATGATGGCGTGCTTCCCGGCCTCCACCACCTCCGTCTCCCCTTTCCCGTCGAGCATCAGCCATTGCCTCACTCCGCTTCCCTTCTTCCGAATCCCGGTCGCCGTTTGTCTCTCCTCTCCGCCTCTCATCTCATCCTCCTTCTCTCTCTCTTCTCCATATTCAACGTCTTTACTTCCAAATTTTCTTACAGTTTACCTTTTCCTTTAACCAAACCCTTATACACTTAGACTACCAATTCTTTTTGTCCAAACCTAGTTGTTTAATTTATAAAGTTGTTAGCCTTTTTATCGCAGTATTCCTTATATTATTGTTTCAATCCTTTCTTTAATTAGTTTTTCCAATTTTCATTTATCATTTTCCTCTGAGATAAATTTCTGCTTTTTCCCTTTGAATTTTTTTAATTTTTTTAATACTTCAAGTTTGTTTGTTAAGATTATTATGCAAATTTTACCCTTTTTAATTTTTGTAATACTTCAAGTTTGTTTGTTAAGATTATTTTGTAAATTTTACCTTTTTAAGTATTAAGAAGGAAAATAAGCCCTTACAAACATTTAAAATAAATAAAAAACTAGTTAGGAGCAAAATAACTATAGTACTTTATGAATGTTTGAATTTCATACATGTTATCCAATACAACACGCAAATTTTAATTGCTCAAAGTTTATTTACTTTTACTTCAATTATTTATATACTTTTGACATTTTGAACTTGACATTGATATTAAAAAGAAATGCGTCATACTTAGGTTTGATGCAGCTTAAATCTATTTGATCATTTGTAAAATAAACTTAATAAGTATAAATTTTAAAAAGTGAATATTAATAATATAGTTATATAAATACAAATATTTAATTTATTAAAAAATCAACATTTGAATCAATTTTAAAATATTTACTCAATGAAATAATAATGTTTAATGTAAAACGCAACCCAGAATCATGTAATAGCCCAAATCAGTTTTGACAAATAGGTCACAGATTCATAATAGTGCAGTCAGTATAATGAAATTTTCAGATTTAAGTTTCTTCCAAAATTTAGATAGAATTACCCGATAGGGTGCTTAATAACGATATTGTGGTTTATAGTTTTTAAATCATTCAATAGTTTTAAAAGTGTGTTTACATCACAATAAAACATTAAATATTTAATAGTAATTGCTTATTACTTGACATATTAAATATTTAATTTTCTTGGATTTATTTTGTTTATCTTGTCTTAGATCTCTCCTATTTGTTAAAATTAATCTTATTCTGCATATTGAAATTAATATTATTCTGCAAATTGAAATCAATCTTACTTTTTCTGAGAGCATTAAACAAATCTTATTTTTATCTCCACTTCAAACGTAATTTATCACATCAGCCCTTCCAGAGCATAACATTTGTAAGCACTGAGGATTATAAGATGTGACGTAGTTTCTATCTGAAAGAAAAATCATTTAAAAGAAAATATTTCGGAACATAAAGATAATCGATCAAATCCATTCCCCTACACACCAATCCAACTTCAAAAATTTCATCGGCAAAAATGCATTAACCAAAATGAATAGGACCGAACATACTCCTAGGCAAGAGAAGAGAATAAATTACAAAATAAACTATCAAAAATTGGGCCAAAATCAAGCATCGGCAATGGTCACCTCAACCTCTACACCGGGTTCAATTGTGATTGAGGTAATCTGCTTGACCACATCTGGGGAACTGTAGAGGTCAATGACCCTCTTGTGAACACGCAGCTCAAATCTGTCCCATGTGTTGGTGCCTGAAACCAGAAGCACGACGACATAAACAGAGCTGATTACCATTAATTCCAAATGGAAAAATATTCTCAATACACCAAGACCAAAATATTGCTTAGTCCTGCATTCTCATCTAGCTTGAAGACATTTCTAAAATCATCAACGACTGTCAAACCTCGTGAGGTCTGGTGTGTCTATTAAGCTAACATTTTCAAAGCTTGCTAATCATGCTTGCTACTTAAGCTTCCGAACATGAACGCCACTCTCTTTTCACCAAAAGTCAAAACCTTTGGATTCATTTTTCCATTAAAATTAAAGCCTTGATTAAAACAAGAATTAAAAGGAATGATATTGATTTTAAAACAGCCGAGTCTTCACAAGAATTTGGTAGCGGGCATCCATCCCCAACTGCCAAAGAAATCAAGGTGTCCCGGAAATTTGATCTCAAAAGTGTCATCCGATGTCAATAAAGAGATATTTCCTATTTTAAAGTTTACTAATACTATTTCTCTGAGAGATATATAGATTTTTTTTCTCTGCGTCAATTCAGAACAAGTTAGGGTTAATCAGACAACAATTTGAGATATTTGACAACTGTCAGTAGGTTTAATCTATAAGTGTGAAGTTATCAAAGTAAAATTACAGCATAAAAGCAGAGAATACACACAAGTGGCGAGAAAATAAAAATGATACAGCAACATTTGTGATTGGTGTATAGCAAAAAAACACACAAAGATTAAGTTTAAAGCCAGAATGTGAAGAAAAAATACCTTCACCGCACGGGGATTTCCTGGTGGTGATGTGAAGAACTTTGGTTGGCATCCTAACAGGTCCCTTGACCCTGAGGCGCTTGTCCCTGGCGCCACGAACAAGGTCGGCGCAAACTATAGCGATTACGATAAGAAAAGAATTAGAATGTGTGAAAGAAAATGAAGAAAAAGAGTTGAAGAGTGGAAAATGGTGTACCCTTTTCGAGATTCTTGACGTTCTTAGAGGAAAGGGTGATCCTGATCTTATGGATCTGTTCCTCAGTGTCCTCCAAACCGGGTTTAGTGGGCTTCATTGCAGCGTACGCCATTGTATCGGTATGATTCCCTCTGCGCACAGAACAAATAATGCAAAGTGAACGCAGAAGTAGAAAAGAGAATGCATTGGCAAGAAATCACGCATACCTTCCAGAGTGTCAAAACAATATGTGTTTCTTCAGAATTCAATTTCATGTTCTCTTAGGGTTTTTCATGCCATCACCAAATGGGCCGGATCATTCATTTACTGTCTGGCCCGATTATAAATAACCAGAAGATTGCTGCACATCTTTTACAATATCTGTTAATAAAAACACTATATTTTTTTTTATGATAATTAAAATTATTAACTCCAGTGCATATTTAGATTACTTTAAAAAAAACTCTGATTAAATTAAATTAAAAGATTTATACAAACTAGCAATGTGTTTGTTTATATTCTTAAATTAGCTACATTCTACATTGGCATGGTCCAAAATCAAAACAGTAACCTAGATCAAGTTTGTTTTCCAAATCCTCTGACCATATTATGATATACAAAATTAGAGCAAACTTCATCTTAGTAAATGCTTTTATAATATTAAATTCAATTTAAATTTCATATTAATATATGATAATAAATTTATTATAATTAATATTAAGTTTGATTTATAGTGTCTTGATATTTTTATTTAATTTCATATTCGATGTTGTCCATAAAAACATATATCAAACAATAATACATTATTTCATATTATTTATATTATATATTGTTGTTATGGGAATTTGGAGCGTGCATTTTTCTACCATGACAATATATGAATGGATTGAAGAATCCCAGTATAAGACAATTTGAGTTTGAATATTTCATGTATAGAATAGTGAGCACGGGTTTTTATAATGTCTTCTTTAATAAAATATTATATTTATTTATAAGGTCTCTAGACTGCATGTATTTATGTGATTTAAATAATTAATTTTCAATTGTTAAATATATAATATTAAAAAACATTATTAAAATATATAATAAAGCTACCAAAATTTAATAATGGATCTTCGTTGAACCATGTTTCATATCACATTTGATGAAGTATATACATATAAAATTGTAAACTATATTATATAAAAAAACTAAAAACATTTATCTTATATAAGTGGTATTGCTTGAAAAAACAAAATTGAACTCTTGATTATAAATTTTGTATTTTGACTATGAGAAATGTGTTTTGGATTTTGTCACAACACATTCTGACTCTTGATTATAAATTTAGTCTCAAAAAGGAAGAAGCTGTAGCCTGGGCAGGACCTCCATACATGCACGAAGTCTGCTTTACAAACTAAATCCATCACAGAACTTGTTCTCAATCATATCAATCAATGAATTTTTCTGTCAGTTTCATATTTATAATATGTTGAGTTAGAAATAGTTTTCATCATGATTCAAATTGATTTTTCCCTCCGAAAATTAGAAATATATCAAATTAGAAAATAAATAACAATTTGAAGCGTATAGATTATTTTCAAGCATGACATTTAATGAGTGGATGAAATAGAACAAACAGGTAACGTGCAAGTCAGAACGATATTACGTTTCACAAACTGAAACCGAAAGTCTCCCGAGAGAGAGAAAGAAGAAAAAAGATGTGAATGAGGATTCTTCAAAGTCTACAGAGCCATCAATATAGACTACAAACTATAAAATTATTTATTTGCAGGAATCATGAAAAGTATTACTAAAAGGAAAAAAAATAAAAGAGTCGGGTGGTTGGTGGTGTTTGGACCAACCATGGAGAGAAAGAAAGAAAGAAGAATCTGTAACCTAAAGTATTATCTGTTACAATGGAATGGAAGAAATTGAAAAAGGAAGAAAGGATTAACGAGGATGAGTGTCAGCAGCCTTCAAGGTCTTCTCTATAAGCTTACGAGCTTTTCTGCTGCGAATCTCAACTTTGACACTCGCACTCTTGTCCATCTTTACGTAAGGTTTTCTCCCTTTCTTCAGGTTCAGAGATCTCACCTTCGACTTTATCGACTCCACCAGATTTCCCAGCTCATTCTTCATCCCTCTCTCTCTCTATCTTCTCTCTTTCACAATTCCACACTTTCTCCCACACACAACCAATCCTATATATATATATACACACACTCTTTCATCCTCTGCCACATAATACTGTATTGTAAAAGTCAGAACTACTAATAATATTTTATTAAAACGCTCTCGATATTGACCGCAATTATTTCAATTTCAATGAAAATCGTCCTGAGGCACAGAAGAGAGAATTGAGGTTTAAATCAGGAAGAAATGGACCGGCGCGTGGGAGGGGGTGCACGTGTTAGTGTCGCACTTAAACTTAAACACATGCATTATGTGGCACACTTTTCAGCGTACATTATTTCCAAATAAATGATCAACGCCTCGCTCCCTCCTTCATGTCTGTCCCAACGACCTCTTTGTCTGTTTTACTTCCTCGCATTTAAAGAAAACTATATTATTTTTTTATGAAATACTAGTTATATCTTTTAATGATTCTTAATAAATCAATTTTTATTTAATTAGAATAAAAATTAAATATGTTTTTAACCTTTTAATTTAAAAAAAAATTAAAATTAATTTTTCTTTAAAACTTTAATTTAGTCCTTAAATTTTCCACTTTTATTGATATTAATCATTTGTTCAACTGTACAAACAATGCTTCAACATAATTTTTAATGTTTTAAAACTTCAATGCACATAGTGTTTAAGGAAAATTGATTTATACATTTAAAATTAATGTGGACCAGAGTTTTTTTTTTAAAAAAGACTAATTTTAATTTCCTCTTGAAATTAAGAAACAAAAAAAATTTTAACCGTTAAAATAATATACTTACAAGAAAAAAAGCCATTTAATAAAATTATTTCAAGGATGATGCATTTAACATTGTTCTTAGTTTGTGTAAAAAAATTTGCCAAATAGTCACATAAGTATGAGTATGTGATCACAACAAATAGACGTTTCACTCAAACTTTTAAATTGTTATTTTTCAACGATAAATGTGTATTCGGATTCAGTTAAGTTATATTAAATTCAACACAAGTTTAAAAACTATTTATAATTTTGGAATTAATTTTAATTTAAGGTGGATTTTATTTATCTAAAACTAAGAAACAGGTCAAAAATGTTGAAAACAAAAACTGATTTTTTGTTATCATCCTACTCAAATCTGAACACACCGTAATAAGTTTGAAATGAATGAATGTAAAAAATGCTATAATATTAATGAAGCATCGATTTGTGCAGCTTAAAATGCCATGAACAAGAATAAAATGTATCAATCTATTTAGATAAACCAAATGTATATATATACATATATACAAAAAAATAACATACCTTATGGGCATCACAAAAAATAGCATATACTTATTTTCTTTTTTAAGAGTCGACTGAGTTTCGAAGGTAATACTTAGAAAGTTAAATTCGGTCAAGTTTAAATAAAATTAAGAAAAAACAAAACATTACATGATTTTTAATTCCACTATAATTTGAGATAAATTACGTAAATAAATGTCAAACATATCACAAGGTTACTTGAAATAATACCTTCCTAAGTTGTAGCCTCTTTCTCCTTTTTCACAACTACGTGTGAAACTCTTTATATGTTTACCCATCGGTTGACCATGAAATTAATTTTTCTATAACGCTTTTGTTATTTGTTGGAAAATCTTTTTTTTTTCTATTATTCGGTTGGCACTTTGATTTTACAAAATTAATTTTCTCTACAACCTTTTACAATAAGATTTTTTACCTCCAAACTTTCGATTTCAAGTGATTTCAAAAGTAAACCAAAAGCTCAGCCAATAACTTTTCGTCAATTACACAACTCCGGTAATCTTTGAAGATTTCAATTATTTATCATTCATTATATTAAAAATATGGAAAATAATTTAGGTTGTGTGTGATGTTGAATTTCGTTGAAGATGAATAAATAAAAACGAAATTTTATCATAAATTCAACATTTAAAAAGGGACAGATGGAGTGACTATTACCATTAAAAAAATATTAAATAGTATAACGTCACACATTTATTATTATTATTATTATTAATGCTACGTTTTCAAGATTTCTAAACAATTAAATGCTAAAAAAATACAATAGTATGATGACCCCCTCGCTTTATAAAATCTATAATTTGAACTCCAATATTAAAAATGATTAATTTCTGTGCTAATTAAGAAGAATATTTATATATTAAAACTATTATTTAAATTATGTTAGTATATGATAGCTCAATAAATTAATTCGAAAAAAAGAAAAAGGACGGTCGTTTATTGAAGGACAATAGAGGCCCAACATGAGTAGGCAGAAGCCCACACGTATCATTTCTGAGTTGAGGAGCCGAAAAGACACTTTACCAGTGACGGTGACGACGGTTACGACGGTGGCGGTGAAGGTTAGGGTTAGGTTGCAATTACGTAATCTTGTTAAATGATGGTGGTAAGAAGAAACTAGCAGGGAAAAGGAGAATGGTAAAGAAAAGTAGTTACTTAACGGAAAGCAGAAGCAAACAGGGAGTTAGATTACATACAATGTGAGAGTTGTGAAATCAGGGAGAAGAGTCACCGTGGGTGTCGCCGTGGTAGCCGCCTCCCAAAAGACAGATTTGGTCCCAAATGAGGTCTGGAACAGGGACAACGGAGAGCCTGGGTTGCCTGAGGAGAGCAAAATCCTTGAAATGCTTCATCTCCTTCAAGTCCACGGGCCTCCTCATCTCTCCCACGGCCTTCACGTCCACTGCATCACCGTCCCACTCGCGGACCACGGAGACAACGCCAACGATTCGGCGGGCCTTGGAACCAGAGTGGTAGAAGAAGCAGAGGTCGCCGAGGGACATGGACTTGAGGTATTTCTGGGCCTGCTTGTTCTTTACCCCATCCCAATTGCTTATGCCTCCGTTCGCCGCCTGGTCCTCCCACGACCACTCCGACGGTTCCGTTTTCAAAAGATACCTCTGCTTCTTCTCTTTCTCTTTCTCCACCTCTTTCTCTCTCTTTCCCATCTCTCTCTTCTCACCTTTTCCCCCCAAATCTCCTCCCGCCTATATAACCCTACTTTCAAAATAAATAATTTTAAATTATTCATCCAAGATAACACCGAAAATAAAATTAATTTAATATTAAATATACTTTTCCATGGAGGCATATATGTGTATAGTAGGATGCCAAATCAATAATTTACTAATAATGTTTTATTAAAACACTCTCAATATTAAGTTTCGTAGAATCTTAATAATTTACTTTCCACAATATTCTTACTAACGGATTATTCATTAACATTTCTTAGAATTAAAGAGATGTTCATTTTTCTATATTTTTGTTGGATGGATTCGATAAATATTTCTTAGAACTAAATGAATGATAAATAAATGAATTATTTTCTCATCCTACAATTGATAGGAACAAAACCATAATAGCAGAAAGGAACAAGATGAGAGATACTATACTGCCTGTTTCCTACAATTGATCCCAACTGAGTAAATTCTCTTGACTCTTAACATGGGCTAGTAATAGTAAGACTATAACCGAAATCTCACTAAAAGAAGCACCAACTAGCAATCATAATAAGTTTCCTAGTTTATATTAATTAAGAAATTAATCAATCAAAACATAAAACAAATACGGTAGATTTAAACAAACAGTAGAAGTACTTCCACTTATAATTTGACAGAAAACACTGAATTTGCATTGAAATTAAAGTATGAAAACCAGATTAGAAAACATCAATCCCATAATCCATGATTGTCAAACATGAAATAAAAGTAATTGCATAATTGCAATGGTACTTGTAAAATGTATTAACTCCGCGAAAGAGAAAGCTATTTGATGTCACCATCCTAGAGAAAAATATCAAAGAATGGCACAACGACCTTCAGCTTGCTTGCGAAGTTCTTCGTGGGCCTTCTCAAGATTTTCTCTCAGTTTACGTATTTCTTCATCTGATCTCCTTTGAGCTAACATTGCCTTCTCCTCAGCCTTAAGTCTTGCAGCTTGCTCCTCATCTAACTGTTGCTTAAGCTTCATAGTTGTCTCATTCAATTTTGATTCAACCTGAAAATTCATATAATTAATCCAAAACAAAAATATTAAAGGTAACACTCCACTTATTATGTTAATATTGTTGTTAGAATATTTAATCTATTTATCATCATTATATTATGTTTAGAATTATTCTATTTATTAGTCCATGAAATAGGATGGATCAAATGCAATATGGATGGAGCATAAGCATCATACTCTGATCATGGATATAAAATAGCTTATGGTGGTATCTTTAGGAATTAAAGTGTAGAAATTAAAATGATTTAAAAAAAGTTCACTCAACATAACACTTTTTTTGCTTACAGTTGAGTCAGTATGGAGTATCTATTCCTTCTGGAATGTACCCACTAAACTACTTATTAAGACTCACTTATCAATTTCATAAGGCTCGTTAATAATTACTATACATGTATATGATACACACAGAAAGATAAGATTATCCCATATTACTTAATTTATGAAATTAAACAAGATTTAACCAATATTAGATCCTATGCCAAAACACCAATAATATTTTATCCGAATGAGTGCAACTATTCAATGAGTTTAAATACCGAGTAAATGCTGATTTTATTCAACCAAGTTGCTTATTAAGCACTACACTGCAATACATATGCAAAGCTGCTATAAAAAAATCATTAAAATAAAAGAGTCACATTATTTAACTTAAAAAAAAAGATTAAATGACATCAAGTTAATCAAAATGGTTAATATAAAAAGACATGGACGTAAAGAGTACCATCTCAGTAATTCGCTTTAATTGATCATCATATGTTTGCTGCATTTGCTTTTCAAACTCCAATAGTGCATCTTTAGAATATTCTTCTTTTAAAGAATCAAACTTTCTTTGTTGCTTATGCATCTCCATTGCTCGAATCTGCAATCAAATGAATGAAATGATGAATTAACTGATATCATGTATGCTTTCCAAGATTTGATGTTCACAAAAGCTTCACCTTCAGTTCTCTAAACAACTCATCTGTATAAGGCCGTCCACCATTTCTTGACAGAACAATGTTTACAAAATAGAGAAGTTTTTGAACTTGTCCAGAACGTTTCCCTTCATCCTTAGTCTTGTTATCAAAAAGTACAACACGATTCTCACACAGACCAAGAATTTCCTANTGCAAAGCTGCTATAAAAAAATCATTAAAATAAAAGAGTCACATTATTTAACTTAAAAAAAAAGATTAAATGACATCAAGTTAATCAAAATGGTTAATATAAAAAGACATGGACGTAAAGAGTACCATCTCAGTAATTCGCTTTAATTGATCATCATATGTTTGCTGCATTTGCTTTTCAAACTCCAATAGTGCATCTTTAGAATATTCTTCTTTTAAAGAATCAAACTTTCTTTGTTGCTTATGCATCTCCATTGCTCGAATCTGCAATCAAATGAATGAAATGATGAATTAACTGATATCATGTATGCTTTCCAAGATTTGATGTTCACAAAAGCTTCACCTTCAGTTCTCTAAACAACTCATCTGTATAAGGCCGTCCACCATTTCTTGACAGAACAATGTTTACAAAATAGAGAAGTTTTTGAACTTGTCCAGAACGTTTCCCTTCATCCTTAGTCTTGTTATCAAAAAGTACAACACGATTCTCACACAGACCAAGAATTTCCTACAGTGCAGTTAAATTCAATATTTCAGTTGAAGATCAACAAAACTAAGAATTTCCCATTTGAGATTCGGCAGATGGACTTTCCTATAATCCAAGATATATTCAGCCAGGAAAAAAAGAGTATCATGCCACTAAAAGAAGTAGAAAATAACCCTTTATTAGCCGGAATTTGTTGACAATTACAAATTTTGATGAGTTTCACATCAATCAAGACAATAAATAAGAAATAAAACCACCAAAGTCTTGCTCACATTTCTTACAAGAGTTAATCCAACATGAAAACTAGGCAAGTGAAGCACTTTTAAGAATTCTGCTACTCGGTTATTTATATCTTTTCTTACAAGATATACCAATATTAAAGTTCACAACATATACAATCAATTCCATATAAGATATTTGCCAAGCATGATACAAGAGCAGATGAGAAAAACAAGCCATTGCACCAATCTCTCTGCATGTAAAAGTTTTAATCTCCAAATGGCATCAGATGGGTGTTTAGACCTGTTTATTTATGAATTTCATAAGAAAAAAGTGTTTTAATTTACTCATTATTAGATAAGTTTTAGTAGATGAAAAATTAAAATCTTAAAATAAATCCAGTTTTATTACTTTTCTAATAAGTTAAGAAAGCAGCTTCTAGAAGGGAAAACTCAAAAAAGGGTATGGAATAAATGTGTGCTTTTTAAAGCATATCCAAACACGCATAAAGATATGTGCACCAGGAAAATGAGTTAAAAAATACATTCTAAAGGTTTAGGTAATAACTTACTGAGGGGCATGAACAAATTGGATGTACCAGCCAAAAAAAATTATGTACACATTTGCAAAATTGACCGTATATATTTAAAATTCCGGCAAAGACCAAATGTATTTTATCAAAGTTTTGACGTATAATACGTTCAAAGATTGTTAAGCCCGTTGTTCAATTTAAACAGAAAACTAGACCACAGTAATTGATACAACAGGTTAAAAATCCAATGAATATAAGAAAAAAAACTAGACGATTGCAATGCTCAAAGAAAAACCTTTAAAGCCTTTGGACACTCGCGACCTAAATAATCCTCCATGCTCTCTTCGTTTTCTTCCAAATCATCTCCTCCAGTGAAGAGAACAATCATGTAATCCACAATTTTGCTTCCAAATAATGACTGCAAGGTCCTTAGAGCAGTTTCTTGTTCCTCAGTAAAGCGTGTTCTAACTGAGAACACCACAATAACCGCATGGATCCCATCTTTAGCCAAATCAATGCATTTGACAATTTCCTCTCGAACAAACTTAGATCCAGAAGACAAATCAAATAATCCTGTGAAACTTTTTAGGTCAGATGAATGTAACAAAAGCTTCCAAGAAACAAAGGACATAGATAAACTCTCTAATAGGATTTCTACTTAATATTGAATAATTAATAGAACAGAAAAAAAACAAACAGTTATAATGAAGTCATTTGTTGGACGCTAATGAAGTCATTTGTTGGAACACTTGAGCTGAGATATGTAGAACAGGGAATGGATGCATGTTTCCCCTTTCAAATAAGGAATCACAAGGGATTCCCCTCCATGGCTATTAGAGATTCAATATTTAGTTCGGGTAAAGTAGACTTAATTTCAACCTATGCTCTAGCATTCAAAATGCATAAGCAAACTTTTGCTCAATCAAAAGTGCCATGAATATTAATCTATGCTGGTTTTGCACGGCGTAAGACCACCAAACATGTTTTTCCTTAAGCCAGACTTGAAAAACTCATGTATTGCTCTTCAACCATTAGAATATTGAGAATTAAACTATACAAATTTAGAAGACTTCAGGTACACAATATAATCATGATAATAGGGTAACCCTTTATAATCATGATAATAAGGTAACTTTTGACACAATATAATCATGATAAATAGAACAACCTTGACACAGCCTCAATCATCATTTGTCAGGACTATTCGAAGTAAGTTCCTTGGCTTGGACAGGGCATTTAGTTCATGTCGCTATTCCGGGGTCCAGGGGGGAATACGTTCGATGGAATAATTTATTAAGTATATTGCCGCACCCCGAGGGATTAGGTCCATTTTTTACAGGTCAGTGGAATCTTTATGCTCAAAACCCAGATTCCAATAATCATATATTTGGTACCCCTCAAGGAGCAGGAACTGCTATTCTAACACTTCTCGGGGGATTTCATCCACAAACTCAAAGTTTATGGTTGACTGATATTGCACACCATCATTTGGCTATTGCGTTTATTTTTCTAGTTGCTGGCCATATGTGACACAGTATAATGATGATAAAATAGGATAAATATCCTAACAAAGAATAACTTGGGTGCCACATATCATTCCTTCCACACAAACTTGTCAACTATCATTGCAAGTCTAATAGGGTACTTAGTCTATATCTTTGCAACCCAACCCATAGGATTATCACTCAGCCCTTCTAGCTATTAGTCACAAATCTTTCGTGACTGGAACCCTTCGACTAAACCGGTGCCAATTGACCCAATCTCATGGACACAATATTAGTCAGAAATCTTTGGTGTGGTTGGTCCCAACCTATGCCAATTCACCCAAATCTCCCAAAGAAAACACAAATGATAACATTAATATGTTATTATGCCTTTACCTGGAGTGTCAATAACATTAACACGCTGTCCGTCATCTAGTTCTGCTGTCCCCAATTCACATGTGGTGGATACACCAGAAGAGCTTGCCCTTGAATTGAAGACCTTCCTTCCGAGAATTGTATTACCCGTCGCACTCTTGCCATCACCAGTTCGCCCAACTAAGACTACTGTCCGAACCTCATTAGATGAGGAAGAAGTGAGCTCCCAATCATCATCAATAGAACTTCCACCCATAGTCACTAAAATAGAAATTAAAAAAACTTAATGAAAACGAGCGAGGGGAGATAACCAATTTAAAAACTTAAAACAATTGAACTATAGAATCATGCTAGATAAATAAATACAGTAATCGCCGTGACAGGATGTTACCTGCACTTTCTAACCTCTTAGAGAGGTTTTCTTCCAAACAACGCAACCTCTAGTAGGTATAATACAAAGCTGCCACCAACACCAGCAGAATTTTAACAGGTATACTTATAGATTTATCTTTTTGAAGTTTTTTTTTCAATTTTATTATTTAGTAACTATCTTTTTAAATTTCAATTATTACTTATAAGAAAAAATATTTTTTAATAATTATTTATATAATAAAAATTTACAAAATATTTTTTTTATAATTTTATCAAATATTATGTGAAACTTGCCTAAAATTGTAAGTGTAATGTATACCAAAAATATATATTATTTTGATTTTATTCTATGTATAAGATATTAGATAAGTTTAAATAAATATAAAATTGTGTATTTAAATAAAAATCAAGTTTTAAAATGTTGAAATAATAACTACTAAAAAAATCTGTTTTAACTTATCTAACTTAATTTTCAAAATAATATTTAATATTTATTGGTAGTTGTAACAGTTAATAATATCATAAATTTTAAAAAATATTAAAATCAGTTTTAGCGCTGAAATAATTTAAAAAATATATATATTTCGTGACAATTGTAACCACCCATAAAATTATTATTTTTTAAAATAAAATAATTTAGAAAACATAAAAGTGAATAAAAATAAAAGTTTAATCAAAATATATAACCTTTTCAAACATAAAATCTATATTTAAACCATAAAAACAAATGAGGTAAACTAAAACAAACTTAATATTCTATGGGTACTGAAAGAGGAGAAGAAAGGCTTGTCTGCCTCAAAGTATAAATAATGAAAATACCATTACATTCATTGTTAATATAATATATTTCAAAATTAAAGTATACATAATGAAAACACCACTACATAAGATCATATATTTCAACATGGTTAAGATAATAATATATTTAAAGATGATTTCAATTATTTTTATTCTCTTCTTATTTCAAATTCAGTTTTAAAACGTTAAAATTTCTAACCTATTTTATTTTATGATAGTGATCCTTATATATCTAAACCAATTGTCCACGTGGACACATTCAAACTGGAATAATTTTTGTTGATTATTTTACAATTTATTGGTCCATAATTACAGAGTTTCTTATTTTATTGTATATAATTGTTACTTGTGTATGTTTAACAATTGGATATATAATTGTTATCCATAGATCAAAGAAATTGGCCAATCACTGAAGAGATATAATTTGTATATTCATACTCATATCAAAGTTGATGGGACATGCATAAACAAAGAGACTGAAATTATATTTATATCATCTCACTTAAATTATATAAGAATAGATTGATTGAGGTTATTAAGTAAATAATAAATATAATTAATATATCGTTATTTATATGATTGTCTATGAACTTTTATTTGGATCTTAGTTTAATGATGAAAATACCAATTAGTTTCTAAATTATAAGAATTATTGTGATTAAGTGACTTGTAAGGTAAAGATAAATCGAGTATATATGGACTTAATAGTTATGACGCTGAAATGGTTGAAAAATATTCAATCATACACATTATAATATATATTAAGTTTTACTTTTATTAATATAAATAATTTTATTGCTATATTTTTTATGTTTTATAATATATTTTTTAATTAAACTAATTATCTCTTATAAATAAATAATTTATACTAAAATTGTAAAACAAACTATTTTATAATTAAATTACATAAATAGGACTTTTTCTTTATAAATGTAATAATGTTTTTTATTTTAACAATAGTAATAAATAATTTTTATTTTTTTATTATCATATTAGACACTCCTGCGTTTTGAAAAATAATTAAAGTTAAATTACCTTCAAGATTTCTTGGTTACTACTATAGTTATGAAATAAAAAGGGCAAATTCATCATTAAAGAAAGACGGGGCGCGGATAGCAGTAAGCAAAAGGAATGCAGATAGTATAAACCCCCATTGATCAAAGCATGACACATTTCATATTGACCTGTTTTAATCTACTATAGCATGTCCATATAATAATGGTTTAAAGTTTGTAGAAAAATTGAACCTTAAGTTTGTTAAAAAAAAATTTAAACCTTGGTCCTCAATTTTATATGATAATTTCAGTTGGGTCCTCATTTTTGTAACTGTCTCAATTGGGTAATATTTTTTTGTAAAAATGAACAAATTTTACCCTAACCGTGTTAGGTGCTTTCAGACGGCATTAAATTTAGCTGAGTTGTATTTTATGTTTTGATGGCATGGCATTGTACATTAAATTGAGTGGGTGATGTGTTTTATAATCATCAAATCCGCGTGGCGATGGTGCTTCTTCTTCCTCCAACCACTGATCACCTTTCACCTCTTCAGCTCTCCGCCCAAACTGCTTTCTTCCAACTTCCACCCTCAAACCCTCACTCTCCAACCGAGAGTAAAATTCTTCAGATTAAAACATTTTTACTAAAATAAGATTAGAGAAAGAGAATTAAGGATTTGGTCAGTGAGAGAAGAGGAATTGGAATCCTAGAGAAGACGAAGACAATTAACTGCATTCTACTAGTCCGAAACCCATTTAGGGTTTTTCGCCTCTTCTACCAGACCAATTGGAAATCTGCATCCTCCCCACTGAACCAAAAGGGAAACCAGAGGAACCCAGAAGCGCTCATCCCCTCCGCTCATGCGCGTCCGCCTCAGCCTCCACCCAATCGGCCTTCGCTAGTTGTGGTCCAAGGCGTCGCTAGCACTGTTGTTCACCATCGGAGGCATCACAAACCATGGCGTCAGGTCCTCCCTTCTCCTTCTTCTCTTCACGCGTGAGAGAAGCTCTCTCGTTCCTCCATCAATCGCCTCTTGTGCGAGCTCGACCGTCGCGAGGCGTGAGCCAGGGTGCCACCAGCGCCACCGGTCGCCGCCAAGCTCGTCGCCGTCACCGCGCAACGTCACCAACGATGAAGGTGATTGGTCTTCGCGATGGTATGATTCGAACTCAGATTTGGGGCTTTCTGTTTCTAATCTGGGATGAGGCGCGATGATGTCGAAGGAGATGGTTGATGAAGGCGCTGATGAAAACTGGGTTTTGTGGTGTTTCGCAGGTGATTGCGATTTCAATTCGGACTAACCACTACTGAAGGGAGAGGCATCGTGGAATGTTACATGGGACACGCGGTTGGCGCGGGGCTGGCTCTGTCATCCTGATTCTGCGTGGCTCATCTTCGGAGCTTTTGGGAGTAAATATTGTTCTTATTATTGATGGTCTGGCGGTAGACAATTAAAAAGGATGAAGTGTTTTATGTTTGTGATAATTTTCTAAGAAACTCAATATTGAGATTGATATTGTTGAGTTACATGTTTTTTAGCATTTTTGTGTTGTTGATAATAGAAAATCTGTACTTCGGAGAGAGAAAGGGAGAGACAGAGAGGCAGAGAAAGATTGTCGCTGGCGAAGCTCCGACCGTGACTGGCGGCCGGCAGGGAGGCCCATGGTCTGACTTGATGATGAACGTTCGGTGGTTAATGTTCAGATCCCTAATTCCCTTTTCAATTCACTCTTTCATTTCTGACCCTTTTCAATCCCTAACATAGTATTTTAACATAAACCACAAATTTTGCCATGTCATAATTTTTTAATTTAAATAAAAATTCCATCTAATTAAACAATCCACATCAGCATAAACACATCAGCTAAAATATGACACAATTGAGATACTTGCAAAAGTGGAGACCCAATTGAGATTATCATACAAAATTGAAGATCAATCGAGAGTTTACACCTAAAAACAATCAATAAAACGAGTGAGAGTATAAAATAACCAAATAAAAATCAGGTGAAATATGATATGACTCCTGGTACTTAATTCATTCAGATATAAAAATAGATAAATAATATAAAAATAATTAATATTATAAATTTATTTATTTATTTTTTGAATTTGATTTTAGATTATATTTGAATGTTATTTTTATTTATTTATTTAGATTTGAATTCTAAAATAAATTGAAATTCTTTTATTAAAGAAGACTTATTAAATGAGTCATGATTTAACCCGTGGGCGGATTAAATTTTTGGTTTAATGTCTCGGTAGGTCCCATTTTGGCGTGAATTTCAAATAGGTCCCTTTTTTTCGGCGTCTCAATTGGTCTCCATTTTTGTAAAATTGTTAACATTAAAGGCCTACCGTCAAATTGGACAAACAACCGTTTAATTGTTTATTTACGTGGCATGGGCAGTGTGTTTTCAGTAATCACAGCTGGCATTAAAAAAGAGTTTCAATTAAAAAGTATGAGGTTAAATTAGCTTTAATGAGAGGGCATAGTGGGAAAATTGATTATGTTAGACGGTGCAGATTCGCGAGATTCGCGATTCTCCTTTCTCAGCTTCAGTATCTGTTGATTCTCCTTTCTCAGCTGAGCCATTTAGGTAACCAGATCGTCCAAGTGCTTCTGCTTCCTCGTGCGAGATCGCGGTGCAGATTCGCGATTCGATGTCATGCGAGATCGCTAAGCCACTTAGGAAATTTGAAAAAAATTAAAGGCACAGATGTATCGCAGAAGACTCCATCTTCTCTTCTGAACGAGAGAAATCCAGAGACACTTACCCTCCCACACACCACCGCAAAAAGGGAGGACACTCTACCGGTCTCGGCGCGATGTGACTCTAAGGCGCATCGAACCACGACCGACCGCGGCGGCCGCTGTCTTCTATCTTCCGAGGCGTGAGGCTGGACGCCGACCACCAGGACGTTGCCCATGCCCCCGCTCGTCACCAGGATCAAGACGGCGCGGACCGCTTCTTCTTCTACGCACGTGGCTCGATTGCCAGTGCTACACGCGACCACGCCAGCAACCGCACCAGCGCTGCTTCGGATCCAGTCGCCACGCCGCCGCTGCTTCAAATCGGGCCGCCTCTAGTGCCTCCGTGGTTCAATTCCGCTCGAGCGCGGTTCAGCTTCAGTTCCAACCACCGTCACGACGCGTGACTCCTTTAGAGGTTCGAATCCTGATTGCTTGGGCTCGAGATTTTTTTAATGTATGGCTGAAGAAAGTCAGTGGTATTTTATTCTCTCAGTCCAGGCATTGAACTGGGTGGGGAATGGAAGAAACTGTAGATGATGCAGGTGGGGAAAGTATTGAATCTGGAGGAGGAAGCAGTTGCAGAAGAAAGTGCCATGGTTTGGAAAATTGAGATTGTGTAGAGTGGAAAGAATGAAGAGAGAAGACGAGGTTTTGTGGACGAGGGGTGGATACATCTGTGCTGAAAAATAGAAAGGGGTGAGATTTGTATGTGGGGTTTGGGATGATAACATGGGCCGAGAGGTTAGAAGAGAAGGTGTTTTGATAGTAAAGTGACTGTGAGCTGTGAATGCATAATCAATTTTCGCTACTATGATTCCCTCTCACTAAAGCTATTAACCTCATACTTTTTAATTGAAACTCTTTGTTTTTAATGCCAGCTGTGATTAGTGTAAAACACTGCCCATGCCACTTAATAAACAAAATTAAACGGCCGTTTGTCCAATTTGACGTGGTCTTAATTGTACAATTTTACAAAAATGGGGACCCAATTGATACGCCGAAAAGAAAAGGGACCTATTTGAGATTCACGCCAAAAATAGGGACCTACCGAGACATTAAACCTAAATTTTTTTTTATAATTAGTCAAGTGACCAACCTGATTAAGCAAAATGACCTATTTTAACAGTATCGATATTTTCATTATATTGGAAAATCAAGGGTAAACTTTATTCCATTAATTAGATTTATTTTCTTAATTTATATAGTTTTTACGATCTGGTAATCACATTTTCCAATTCCTGTGAGTGCAGGCAGTTCTTTATGATTATGAATCTGGATTTCAGACACATTCATTGCTGTAAAGAATCAGGTTTGGACAAAAAGCAGACTAATTAATTGAACCAAGCAATTAGATAATGGAGATTCGAGAAGAAACGCGTGCAAGAACCCAACTTATAGTTCAACGTTTACAAGAGGCGCCACTACCATGATTCACTCACTATTAAGACGCCCTTAGCTGAAGCATCAACGATAAGTGCACTCAATCTCACCTCTCACTTTAACTTTCTTACACACAAAAATAGATTTAGTTAACCTCTGAGTATATGATTCAAATCATGTTTGTTTACATAATTTTATATTTTAAAAGGACGTGAACTTGCTTATTGTACAATGGACAGACCAACTTTGCCCTCCTTTGAAGGCTAAATTCTCCTTTAACAAGTCAGAAAACAATGTATTCCTGATTAGTTCTGCTTTGCTTTGGCCAAAGGAATAAAGTAATAAGGCTATTACCAATTGCAAGACCCACCCACATGCTCAATTTTATATAATAGTCCAAAAATATTCTGATTCATAAAAGGAAATAGACAAGGACATGACAGAATGATAGAGCCTTCCTCATATACGAAACCATAACATCCTGTACAGAAAAAGGGAAAGAAAGCCATTGGAATCAGAATGTCCTATAGTATATGTGCAACGCATAAGCTTCAACAAAGCAAAGCAATCAAGAGATCGCATACACTAAACATGTTGGCACCACCAATTGATTGCTATGTTACCAAGCTTTAGCTTTCTGGTTCCCCGGTCAAATAAACTATTTCCTATGCTTAAATTCCTCTTCCCCACTCCACCAACCTCTTGCTTTACTCTCCCACTAACGCTCCTCCCTCCATTGTCATATACAACCACCTTCTATTAGCTTCCATTCCTGCTACCAAAAAACTATCATTCATATTCACGAGGTCCTACTCAGTACTCCTTTCAATGGACACTTCTGGCCAACAATCTACAAAACAGCTAAAAGAACACCTCCAACATCACCAAGAGCCTTTTTCGTTGCAGAGTTACCTCATCGAAAGAAGTTACATGTTCAACAACAACCTCAGCTATGAGAGTACCAACATTCACCACCTTTATTCAGCCAAGAATCTGAAATCCTCCATCAAGTATGATTTACACAAGATAAGGAAACGGCTATTACATGCTACAGGGATACTGAGATCACTACTATACAAGTTCATTCCCACAGAAGACAGCCAGTTCTCAAACTGGGTAGAAGAGGACAACAATGATCTGTATTATGTGCATGAATATTTAACAGCACACACTCAGCCAACTCAACAAACAAGTTCACTGAAAACATTGGCTGTGTCTCATCATTTTACTAAAAATGATGCTCCTCACCGCAAGGTTTTGCCGGCGAATATGTTTCAGACATTCACACTCCCCAAATTAAAAAGATCAGAGGTAAGCAATCGATTCTTTTTACTCGATCGCGTTTTATATATTATATACATGCAAGCACAATTCCATTACCGTCTTTAAGCAAACTCGCTCATTAAGCAAACAGGTTGACGCAGGAACCAAACCATATTGGATAAGGTCAAAGGAGAATAGCCAGCAGTGTAGAAGAGGACCAAAATGGAAAGCATCATTACCAAATGCAGGTTGGACACTTTCACTAAAACCAGAAGGGGAGAACAGTATTAGCACGTATGCATTGATTTTAATTTTTAACTTGCATTATTTGGGTTGTGATGGAACAGTGTGCCACTTAAAAAGTTCAGATGAGCAGGTAACAGCTGTTCCAACTTTGTCCCAGAAACTTGTTAGAGACTATGTAAGAAAGCTAGCGGCGAGCTCAAATATTTTGAAATTGAGACGTGCAAAAAAAGACAAACTACAGGAGATGGTTGAGACGGCTTCTTTGTGCGGAAGAAACAGAAGGAGCCTGGCAAAGAGGGAGCAGCTACGGTTTGACCGTGTAGAAAAAGACAAAGGGTTTCATGAAAATGAAGGTAAAAGTGTGTCAAGCAAAGCAGTTGCAGAAGCTGAGGGGTTTCAGAGTATCATGCACGAGCATTTTAACGTGTTGGAGAAACAATACAGAGAAGCTAAAAGGATCAGGCACCTGCTGCATGCAGAGTCCTGTGTGATATCAGAAGAGTGGAAAAGCTTCCAAATCTTAAATTTGGAGATAAGCATGGAGATAGGAGATTCAATCACGGATGACATTGTAAGCGAAATAATTGATTTCTTTTAACAACGCCATGCCCATGTTCACTGGAACTGTACTTTGCTTGGTTTAGTTTTAGCATCACTGTTGAATGTATAAACATTGAGATATTAAGGATTGCCCTGTTGCTGGAAATTCACGTTGCAGAATGTAGTTCAAATTACGATATATTTGATGGGTCAACACTAAAATAGAAGGAAACACATCACTAATAGAATAAAAGCACTAATAAGACGTGAGTGGAATAAGAAACTGACACTCAACATTAAAAGACAAATAAGCATAAATAGATTGTTCTTGTTAACTCTTATTTTCGAGAAGATTAGAAAATCATTTATTTTTTTCCTAAAGCAGAGATTGGACTGATGCCTTACCATTGATTAAAACTCCTAAAAATAGCATGTGATTAATTGGATAAAGGTTGAACTGTGATTCACTGTCGTAATCGAAAACCTGAACGGTACATTTGTAAGGTTGAAGGGGAAAATGACAAAAGGAGGCACCAGGTGGCAGCATAAGAAAGAGGATGTTATCCGTATCCCATAAATAAATAAATAATACGAGGACAGCGTGTGATGTCGTGTCCCACAAAATCCAAAGAAGAGAACAGAGCATGCTGGAAGTGAAAGTGTGGGGTCGCCTAGTCTTTCGCTTTCAAGTAGTCACTCAACTTCTCCAGGCTTCTGGAATGAACTTCGGCATCGCTCAAAATCACAACAACTCACAAATGTCTACTCACAGAAACACAGAAGAAACACAGAAACACAGAAACACAGAGCATCTTCGTCTCTTCCATTCCAATGGCAGTGCCAATGGCAACTCTTTCTGCTCTTTCCTCCACTGCTCTTCTCAACAACGCCAACACAAGCATAAACACCAGCAGCAGGACCATCTGCACTTTCCCACTACATTCCAACACCCACACCCGTCTCTCTTTTTCTTTCTGCTCCAAACGCACTTCCCTCACCAGCGCCGGCTCCTCCGTCAAAGACGACCAAAAAACTGACTCCTCCTCTACTACCACGGTTTCCGTTGCTCCTGAAAACGACGTGGACCATGATTCTGGTTCTCTGTCTGATTCGGATGCCGATTCTGACACCCAACAGGAAATGGACTGGAAGACCGACGAGGAGTTTAAGAAGTTCATGGGCAACCCTTCCATCGAGGCCGCCATAAAGCTTGAGAAGAAGAGAGCTGATAGAAAGCTCAAGCAACTTGACAGGGAAACCACCGACTCTAACCCCCTTTTGGGCCTTTTCAACACCTTAGTTCGTGACAACCTGCTCAGGGAAAAGGAGATGCTGCAAAAGGCTGAGGAGACTTTCAAGGCTCTTGATCTTAACCAGGTCACCTTATCATTCGCTAATTCGTATTCATTTCATTTGTTTTTTTTAAAACGAATCGATAGTACTATGTTATGCTACTACCTGCACATGAATGATGAGTACCTACTCGTTATATTTAGTTTACTTTGGCTTTATGCAGTTAAAGAGTTGCTTTGGGTTTGACACCTTCTTTGCAACCGATGTTCGAAGATTTGGAGATGGAGGCATTTTCATTGGCAATTTAAGGAAACCCATCGATGAGGTCATTCCCAAGTTAGAGAAAAAGCTCTCCGATGCAGCAGGACGAGATGTCGTCGTCTGGTTCATGGAAGAAAAAGCAAATGACATTACCAAACAGGTAAGTACTATCCCATCGTTTGTTTAAATATTTTTAAATTCTTGGTTTCTTCGCGAGTTTTGCAATCTAGAGCGTGGACCGACACTGTTACGTGGTGTTAGACATGCTTTAATTGCTAAAGTACTCGATGGATCACTTCAATCCTGTAAATTAAGGAATGAAGGAAACTTCTGAGGAAAATACTTAGACCTCACAGTGCTCTGAATCATTAATTTGACACTTCTTTTCAGTTAATTGCGCACATCACCCGCTCATGTCACTAACAATCGATTCATTCCATGCATTAATGTGACAATCTATGCTCCTTTACTATCATCATCGTTCTGGCTTTGTATGTTGTTTTTTTTTTTTCACTTGCTCGGATGATAAAGAAAATGCTGCAAAGATGCTTTGCTAGAGGGCCAATTGATAAAAGTCATGGTATTGTTTCAGGCTTGTGTGGTACAACCCAAAGCAGAAATGGATCTCCAATTTGAGTCAACTAAGCTGAGTACTCCTTTGGGCTATTTTAGTGCAATTTTATTAGCTGTTACTACCTTTGGAACAGTTGCTCTGATGAGTGGCTTCTTCCTTAAACCTGATGCTACAGTCGATGACTATGTGGCTAATGTTGTGCCTCTATTTGGTGGCTTCTTATTTATTCTGGGAGTTTCAGAGGTATGTTATATTTCAGAATTTCCACTAAACGTGGTTGTTTATTCCACATTTCATCATGTTCTGATTACGACTTACTATTCCCTTACTGATAATCCTCTAATTGATAAGTAGCTTGTTTATCTTCTTACAAGCAAGAAACTCACACATAAAGCCTAAAGAAAATTTGAAATAGTTTTATTGCCACATGGCGTTGTTGTTTACTGGATAGACAGTATTATCTGCAAGGGACGTTGTGACAGTAGCTCATCAGTTTCCTCTTTTTGATGATTTCAGTGGTTAAACAGACAATCTCCAACACCAGATTGATACATTGGTTTATTCATGTATATTATATTATGTTGGAGATTTTACCTGGCCACTTTTTTTTCAACTGTATTGCATGCAAGATAGCCATCTTTGACATTCAATTTGTTTCCTGGCTGACTGATTGTATTTTTCTTCATTATGCAGATAACTACCAGGGTAACAGCAGCCCGTTATGGTGTTAAGCTTAGCCCTTCCTTCCTGGTGCCATCAAATTGGACTGGCTGCTTGGGAGTGATAAACAATTATGAATCTCTACTCCCAAACAAGAAAGCACTTTTTGACATTCCTGTAGCCCGTACAGCTAGTGCATATTTAACTTCATTACTGCTTGCTATAGCTGCATTTGTGGCTGATGGAAGCTTTAATGGGGGTGATAATGCATTGTGAGTGCTGCATATGTTATCTTCTCTAGAAGCGCAGCTATCTCTTTCCTATTAATTCTTTTTCTTTGGTCAAGAAAAGGAAAGGAAACATAAATTTAAGTGAACATAATTTGTCAGAACCATAAACTTATGATCTACGCAATAGGCCTATCATGCATGGACAAGAAATACATGTTTTGAAAAATGAATTAGAGTATATAAGTTGAAAATGGTATTAGTCATCGCCAAAAAAATTTAATAAGCCTTTACAAAGATATATAGGAGTTGTAGAATTGGCCATAGAAGTTTTATACATTAAAATGTACAACAATAAAGCAAGAACAACAGAAATCGTTGTCTGATATTGGCCATGTAAGCTGCTAACATGCTTGGCGAACATTACTTATGATTATAGCTTACTGTTTATTTCAGGTACATACGGCCTCAATTTTTCTATAACAACCCTTTGCTTTCTTTCATCCAATACGTTATTGGACCTTACACAGACGATCTTGGAAATGTACTACCTTATGCCGTGGAAGGTGTTGGAGTTCCTGTTGATCCGCTTGCATTTGCTGGGCTTTTAGGTGGGTTTGTTGAGATTTCTATCATTATACCTCCGTTTTGACAATAAACAGTGCAACTCTACATTCTTTACAACCTAAGATCTAAAATTTATATAATGTCCAGGCTAAATGGCATTTGTTAAAATTACTTAAGGTCATGAATATGGTACATTGGATGGTTAATGAATTTCTTTTTCTTGGGAAAATAGCAATTATTTGTAAAATTACTAAAAATCTGCATTAGATGACCACCATTGTCTTTTTTACAAGTTTTGCCGTGACAAATTTGAGCCCTTGTGTTGGCTCGAAGTTACAGTTGAATCAATGGCTAGACAATTTGAATTTGATGGTTATGCAGGGATGGTGGTGACTTCTTTGAACTTGTTGCCATGTGGGAGGCTAGAAGGAGGACGCATTGCTCAAGCCATGTTTGGAAGAAACACTGCTACTCTCTTATCTTTTGCCACTTCATTGTTACTCGGTATTGGTGGCCTCAGTGGCAGTGTTCTGTGCCTGGCATGGGGATTGTTTGCAACCTTCTTTCGGGGTGGAGAGGAAATACCCGCAAAAGACGAAATCACCCCTCTAGGAGAAAGCAGATACGCTTGGGGCGTCATCCTTGGCCTCATCTGTTTCCTCACACTTTTCCCCAATGGCGGCGGCACATTCTCCTCATCATTCCTCAGTGGTCCATTTTTCAGGGGTGACATGTAAATGTAATAATTTTATGTAGGTATACGAAATTATGTAGTGTGATCTTCGTTCAACATATTCTCCAGAATATAGAACTGTGTTTCTTTGTCGTGTAATCATAATCAAGAATTCAAGATGGCTAATTGTAATTATAGCTGCCATTTAAACGTTGAATTGCAAATCACGAGCTCCCAAAAATCACTTCTACTCCTAATTCTTCTTATTACATTGATGAAAGATTAAATTTTGTTTGAATAATAATAAAGTATGGTACAAGGAGAAAGTTTTGTACAAGAAATGCTTTACTTAAAACATACTCACTCAAGTATATATATATAAATAGAAGGACAATCACGACAGTGTTGTCGTTGTTATTGTTAGAGTATAGGGGTGAAGTTAATTATGTCATTCTCTGCAGTGACGGTTAAATCTGGTGGTGTCCCATTATTTGGTTCTCTTACCCTTAATTCTGACCTTCCTGCATACCCGATCATCCTCTGCACTCACCACGCTTCATTTCCTAGTCAACGCGTCTCCAACTTCTCTCTATTTAAGGTTCGTTTTTCATCGATTCCATTTTCCTCTCCGTTCTGTTCTTTGTGATAATAGTCCAATTTGTTTCAGAGTCGCAGGACTTTGGTCCATGATCCTCGCAAGTGGATGCATCCAAGGAGCGACGACGAGGACGACGAAAACGATGAGGATCGGAGTCTGGATCTACTGGTGAGGTTCGTTCAGAATGTCTTCAAGAAGGTGTCAAAGAGAACAAGGAAAGCAGTTCGATCCGTTCTCCCTTTCCCCATCTCCACCCATTTGGTTGGGCTACTTAATCTCTTCTTCTGCCAATTATATCGCGATTCTGCAAGTCTGGATTTTTTTTGGGGGGATGAAATTTAACATCTCTTTTAATACAGGTCGGGTTTTCTGTGAATGGGACGCTGTTGCTGACCTTCCTGTGGATTTTGAAGGCGTTTCTTCAGGTACCGTTTTCATTTATTTATGATGGGCATTAACATTGTTAAAATCATTACTGAATGCCATTTCTAGAATTTTGTTGTCTTCTAACTTTTTGGGTATTTAACGATGATTGATTGTGGAGGACTGCATTCTTTTAGAAATGGATTTTGACATTCTATACTTAGTTCAATCTGTTTAGCTAAGCTTTTTGTTACTGAGTAGAAAATGGTTCTACATAATTTTTAGGCTACTGCTGTCCAAAGCAGCATAGAACATGAGACTCAGTAACGATGGGATCCAGGTACAGAGGGGTTGTCCTAGTTCACGGGGTTCGTCTAGGCAGGGTCTTGTGCAGCCTTGTGCCCCTGTGGAAAGGGTGTTTCTGTGATTAAAATCAATGACATGGTCTTAAAGTAACAAGGGATGCAAATGACTCGAGTTAAATGAACCGTGTCCTGTTTTGGAACAGTTTTCTTTCTAGGAAAAATGACTGGGCGCGTAGGTGAGACGCCTATGTTTCAGATATATCTTCAAAATTGATGTCTAAAATGTAGCAGTAGGTTATGCAGCAGTATTTGATTAAAAGGTTTAATTACTACTTGCATAATCTTTGTTTGAATTTCAACATCTAAAAACTGCTAGTTTTAATTCATACACATGTTTTTAAACTGTTTTCGACTGTGCAAAGACTAAAACGAGCTAAAAGAAGTGTATGGATAAGTAGTAAAGCGAGTAATTTCTAAGTGTATAGATTAAAGCATAAAAAATGTTTAAGTACAAGGTCTGGTGTTTAAGTAATTAAACTTTGTTATAATCTTAGGGTGATGATTTTTCCAGTTGATATTCGGCATGGACCAAGGAGTGAAAAATAGATGCAT